GGGGGGTTGGACTAGATGACCCACAGAGGTCCCTTCCAACCCCTACTATTCTGTGATTTTGTGATTCTGTGATATGTATTTATAGTCTGTGATTAGTGCAAGTGAAATAGGAAAATGGTTCATTTACATGTCGTTGTAGCATGACATCTCTGTACATCATTCCTGCCATCACATTTACATTACCTAGCCAAGAACAGATTGAACATATATATTATTCATCTCACTTTTAATGAAATCTATATTGATTTGTTTTGTTTTTAAAGGAAGCACATATCCTTTAACAGGAAAAAGGCATGTCTTACAGCTCACTTAAAATACAGTCCTTGATAGGTGTTGCATATTTCTGAAGGCAATAAAACAGCACTTAATACAAAAATATGAGAAATCTTAGAAATATGTCAATTTCAAGCTCAGGACAAATCTAAGAGTACTTTGTCTATTTTTAACGTGAGAATCTTTTTACAGAGCTTCAGTGGTACATAGATTAGAAAGTACCTGTTCTGAAAATGGATTTTGTATGGGTCTGTGTGTTGCTTTATAGTAAACTAATAAAAACAATTATTTTCTAATGTATAGAAGCCTCATAAAAATATCCTATCAAAAAGACACTAAGTGACTTTTGTTGTTATAGGAAGAGATGTCTTGCTATTGGGGAACCAAGCTTAGGAAAGCAAGCTGATGTCAGGTGGTCATTTTCCACTGTGACATCATTTCTTCCTGCTTTTGAACAAAAACTAGTAAAACAATAGCTCTTTATGCTTGCTATGTGACTGAATATTTGTGTTCTTTTCCATTACTGTTCAGGTGCTTGTACTTGGACATTCTGTTTCCGTATCTGACTTAAATACGTAATTCATAATTATACTTTTGTTTCATAAGAAATGTGTTGTTCCATATGGATTTGGAGAAAAAAAACAGGCTATAATTTGTATTAAAATGGTTAGTGCAATAACTGGAACTGATTTTTAGGATTGAAAACAGAACCCTTAGAAGCCCAGAAGAAGTTAGGGACAGGAAGAAAGGATCTTGTGCTGAACACACCAGAAGGTAGCTTAAAAAAATAGGAGGAGAACAAGGAGTAGAAAGATTCCTGGAATTCATGAGAGAACAGAAGAGGAGCATGATTAATTGTGATTAGGCTAACTGAAATCATGAAGGATGAGAACAGAATACTGGGTCTGAATTTTGGCTAGACATGAGTCACTAAAGCCTGTAAAGGGCAGCTGTATAGAATAAACCAGTGGAAGAAAAATGGAAGCAGCACTGGAAGAAAGGGAGAAATAATCGAAATGACTGCAGTCAACGTTGACTGAGCCTGGGAGAAGAGAGAGGAGATTGTGAGGGAGAATGAAGAGTGGGTTTTTGATGAGAGAGACTAAAGGTTTTCATGTTTTGAAGTGGAATGAAAATGAGTGAGAAGAGGATGAAAAATTAAGTAGGAGAGTTGTTTAGCAATTGAAATTGTGGTAAGGGAGAGCAGATCATGGGACCAACAGAAGAATTCAAGGAAAAGATCAGGAAAGACGCATCCATGTCTGGAAAGGAAGAACTGTAGCATCAGATGGGAAAGTGAGGAAAGGGAGACGGTTATGCTGAAAGTAGTCATTTTTGTAGGAAAGAAATCTGCAAGATTTTATTTGGAAGGTAATATAGAAACATAACAACTTAAACATTTCATTTAAAATAGGCTCTCTTGCATTATGTAGCGTGTGTGAAAAATCTGAAAAGCAAAAACCTAGAAAAAACACCAGCTGCTGGATATATTTGCAGACTTCAAACTTACATAAATATGAGAACAGTCTGCAGAAGCTTCATTTTTAAATTAGAGATGAAAGAAAACTATTAGATTGCTCAAGACTGTTTTCTTAAATCTTTTCTCTCATGAGAACTGACTAATGCATTCATTTTTCAGCATTAGAACTGAACAATGTTTAAATGTTTTTATTAGAATAACTCTGATTTTTCTTTCTGGTTAGCAATCACAGAAAGAGCATACTGTATCAGACTCTGTGATGGAATAGATCATATTTAGAAGTATGATAGATCAGGAAAGTGAATGGAAGGTTTCCTAATGACTTTGCCATCTCCTGATCACCAGTATTTTTGCATGGTTATTACCAAGCACATCACACTTAAACTGAAAAATGGAAAATGAATGCTGAGTATAAATAATTTATAATCACATCTGCAGGTTAACAATGCACATTGTGCAGATGTTTCCTCTGTTTATCCTGATTCATGTAGCATAGGAAGAATGTGTCAAAGACAGGTCAATTTATGTCATTTTTCCCCTTCTATAAATGTTGACTGCTGTGCAACTAATGATTTAATTCACTAGCAAATTGAACTATTTCCTGGCAAAAAAGTAACAAAATAAAAAAATACGCAGCTTGACAGAATTCCTCCCTGATAAGTTCACTCGATCTAACAAGGACAAAGCGAGATGAATTTGATTCCTTTGGTGATGAATATTTTGACAACACTGTTCTGATCATTTTTTCCCATTGCAAATGAAAAGCAATTTACTTAAAACAGATTAAATTACAACTGCTAGATTAAATTGAATTTTGTTGTCAAAGTACAGAATTTATTCTCTGAAACAATTCACTAAGTAATAGGACCCAGTTTCATACTGTGATTGCAAACAGCTGTACAAAGACGATCAGACTCTGCAGTTTGTTTTCAGATTCTGTTCAAGCCAAAATTTGTCCATTTAACTTCTAGAATGACCTGTAGAAAGCTCTCCAGTGAAGGTGTTGGTCTCTTAAAGCTTAGGTCTTTGGCTTCTCGGAACAGCATCTAGTATTAGCATGACAAGTGTGAAAATTCCCTAAGGAGGTGTGTTTCTTCACAGCCAAGTACTGTAACGGAGTGCTGCATGAACCCCAAAGCTGCTGTTGCATGAAACTGATCATAAAGGCATTTGATAATTGTTTTGCAATGTTCTCTTTTTCTGTTCTTCTGCTCTTTTTTAAGTAAGTTCTCTTTCTTTTCTGTGAGAGTCACACTGTATGTCCACCAAGGATAAGATTTACTTAGAAAAGTAAAAAAAAGTTATGCCATGTAGCGCACTTTTTTTCTGCCTCTCTGTTCACATCCTCCAGTCCTTTTTGCGTTGTATTCTTGTAGCACAGGGAGAAACACAGATGGTGAGGATAATCCATACAGTAAAGTAGTTCATCGTGCATTAAATTTCCAAATACATTTATTGTATTTTTCTTAGAAAGAGGTAGGAGTACCTTAATTTCTTACATTTTAATCCAGACTTCAGCCTCTTTCATGACATCTAGCAGTTTCACAAATGTGTTTGACCAGTGTGAATTGTTTTCCAAAATATAATAGTTGCAGTTAAATCTCCCATTTGACAGGGTAAGTATTACCTTCTGGATGGGAGCTAGGCTTGCTCTTAGGTAAATGGCTGCTATTTTGATAAAGCACTCAGTGCCTTTGTTCCACAGGGGCTTAATGTCTTTTAGCGCTCACTCTCTGACCATGCACATCCATAACACATCTCATGTAGGAGGGATTCAGAAGATACTGGTCAATCTCTTCTGTTACTCCGATCAGAAGTCTACATTATATTCTCTGCATTGTGGTTATGCTGGTTTGTGACAAGCAGAATAAGCACCTGTACTCATTTATACATTCAATCTGTAAGGATGGAATGTGGAGAGGAAATATATAAGAAAAGGAAGGCACCAATTAATTCTGTATTGATCAAAATTCATGCTTTGAATGTTTAACTCAGGAAGTATTTTACAGCAATGCAGTGTTGTCCAGCTAAACAGGTACTGACTGCATGAGTCACTAAGGATAACCAGCTGCAAAGCATTTTGCAAAATTCTCTTTGGTGGTGAAGAAGTCTTAGAACTGGGAGAAAAGGGCACAAGTGTTTTGCTCCAGAGCTCCAGGTTTTGGACTTTTTTACCTGATTCTCAGTAATGTCCATGGTATCTGTGGTTGTGGATATACATATGCCTTGTTTCTGCCTTCCTTTCTGGACTACCCAACAGATGATATTGTCTGAGCAGCTATGCAGTACTCTGGGGTGTGTGTGTCTCAGGTATTCACAACGCCTTCAAGCTGGTTCCATGCAGGAGGAAGCAATATTCCATCAATGTTCTTTCTGTGCTTTGAAAGCAGTGAAGTATTTGAAGTATGATAAAGAACTTTGAACAAAGTGGCAAGTAATTTACGACATATTTTCATATATGAATTCTGTTAATTTCTTTGCAGTGAGATTGCCACTTAGAAAGAACACCTTTCTGAGATATTTGTTATAGCTATACTGCAGTAAATATCCAGGTAGTATATGTAAAATTTTCTCACTCGTTTTTTACTTGAAATCATCCCACAAAATTTCTAAACTTTTGGCTGGGGCACTTACTGTTGGCAGTAGCAATATTAATATAGACAGAGTAATGTCCTATATATTTTATTTAATAAATGAAGTCGATATAGCTTCTGTTCTTCTCCAGTAGTAAAAACATGTGACCAATCCAAAGATAATAAATAATTTGAAACTATCTTCTATCTTTAGAGAAAAAGGACCAAATTTATTGCCTGTGATTTCCTAACTGAGTGGTTATACAAGTAAGTTAATTGTGGCTTTTACTATTAATTATGCTCAATGATTCAGATGTATTAATTTGCAAATAGAATAGCTACAGTTTAAATTAATGAGTTGTTTTCTGTTTTTTTGGTTATCAGCAAGAACCCAAAGAGGAAAGATGAGTCATTCACAGAATTCTTTTCGATTCCCTTTGTTAACGACTGGCTAAAGAACCAGTAAGTTACTGCAGTATGCAGAGTAACCTTTTCTCCTTGTGTTCTTTTTCCCCTGCTATTCCAAAAGAGTAATAGAGCTTCAATGCGTTGCAATTGTGCCCTGTAAATGCCCTTTACTGCGTGCAACAAAGAACTATTTGATGCTTTCTAACTTGGTAGTGTATTAGTTACAAGGTGTTTTGTACTGGAATTGTTCCCAAAGAAATTAATTTAGAATTCTTAAACATTTTAGTTGTAGAGTGCAGGACATTCAGATAGTCTGGTAGTATTATGAATATCTTTGTACTAAGGAGCAAAGCAGTATTTTCAGTGCTGTTTCCTACTATGGAAATCTTTGAGGATATACAGTCTAGAAATTCTTCCTCTAACTGTAAGCAGCTGTTTTAAAAGTACCTGTAATAATCCTTGGCATCAGGATGCGTTTCTGCAGACATTTATGACTTTGCCTCTGAGAAATGAACCCGTTTTGGCAGCCTCAATCTTATATTCCTCATTATTCCTGTAGCACCAAGCTATATAGTGGTTTTGAAAGAAATGTTACTGTCCTTGAGACTGCGTTTCGTTTCAAAATGTAGCTGTTGTATGACAAAAGAAAAAAGTAAAGTAGTAGTCCACAGTGAAAGAATAAGAGAATTACAGATGCCAGATTTTAAAGAAAATTTTCAAGTTGAAGACTTAATTGGAGGCTAGGTGGGTGGTCAGTGAAAACTTAGGGATTAATATCTTTGTAGATACATTTACTTCATTACACTAGGTAAGTGGAAGTTGAGCTTTTTTGAACTCTTGTCATGTGAAACTTAGAATCTTGAGTCACTGATCCAGCAAGAGGAAAGCTCCTTGACATTCACAGGCCTTTGGAGAAAAGCTGGTGATTGTGGCATGAGTAGTTAACTTTGACTATCTTAAAGGTAATCATGTGGTCAAAGTTGTGTAGGAAGTTTCTGTGATAAGAGGTGGCCATCGCTGGTGAGTGACCCATTTCATCTCAACTCTGATACCTTCAGGTACCTGCTACTGCATCACACTGCCCAGCTGCTGTTGTTCAGACCTGCCACTGGTGGGCCACTTCTGACAGTTTCATTCTGTAAATCACTAGGTCTGGTCAACACGATTCCTGTTTAAGGCAGTGAATTTTGTAGTTTGGAAGTTGATTAAGAACAGCAGTGAGGTTGTCATACTCATTTCTTAAGCATTACTGAAGAGCCATTGGTTAGCAGGGCAGTTTTGATACCACTGAATAGGGAGGATGGATATTTGTACCTAAGATAAGTATCTAAGATCACAGTTTTACAAACATTGCTTTTGGAGGTAAAGCTGACCTAAACAGTTTCCTGTTCTCTCCCGTTCTTCAGCCCAGCTTGCTTGCAGGCAACCTAGTATCACCCCGTCTGTGTGGTAGGATGCTTGATTATTCTGATCAGCGACCTGCTCTGTCTTAGAAATCTCTCTGCCAAAATGTGTGAGGAAGGTTTGTATAGCTATTTGAAATGGGGATAATTTCTCCATTCTGCTTCACCTGGGAGCCTGACAAACCTTTGTATTGGCACAAACCAAGGATTGAAATGAAGGGCTCAGTGCAAGGTGAAGTAAACAAATGAGCTGCTAAGATATAGAGGTGGTGGCAGGAACTGCTTGACTCAGCTTTGCCAACAAGAGAAATACACAGCGGAATCACAGCCTGAATGACTCATAGCTTCTGTTAGTACTTGTGCTCCTAAATAATGTAGTGGCAGCTCCACAAGGACACTGAAGTGTCAAAGTCCTGCTTAAATGGATACACACTTGATCTTAAATCCTATAAACAAGTAAGCCTTTAAAAATAATAATTATTAAAACTGTTAATAAACCCCAACTTTTTGTGAACTTATCTTAAAATTACTGATTTCTTAACAAATATTGCTTATGAAGTAGGCATTATTAGAGCAAAGTGAAAGATTGCAATGTTAAAGAAGAGTAAAAATGAGATAATTTATTATTGTATCCTTCTGGATATGTCATAAATAGTTTATTATTGTATCCTTCCTTGATTCCATGTTTGCTTTTGTTATTTCCATTTTTAATTGTAAAGGAGTTTTCATTTTTTAACAGGCTTTGTGAATATGTAAGAGGCAATATGCTAAAAAGTGCACGAAGAGACAATATGCAAAAAAGTGCTGGTCAAACTTTGGTGGGAAACATCCTTATCCCAACTGTTTGGATGGTATAATAAAGAAAAAGAAGTAAAAAGTGTTGCTGCAAAGTTAAGGGGTAAACTCTTGTGTTGCTTTTTCAGCTACTTGTCTAAATTTGAAAAGCAGTCTGAAAGGTCTGTTAAATAGGAGTACATTTCTATACTGTGTTAAAGTAGGGTTTATCAGTGCAAAGCAGTCTTCATGCTTAAAAAATAAAAAACAAAACCAAAAAACCTCAGTCAGATAATTTTTTTTGTTCTATCAGAGATCCAGCTTTTTTTTAATGTATTCCCTACCTGAGTATGACTTTTATGGCTCTCCTCCAGTGCTGCAACTTTTTTCTTTGAAGCTCCATTGTTTTTTAAGAATAGTCAAAACCAGCCTTATGAGCCTCACTCTCTGTGTGATGTGTTTCTAAATGAGATCTTGCAGCCTACTTTTCCTTTTTAAGGAGACACAAATGCTGCATCGGTTTCCAGAATTATAAATGCAAACATCATACCTTCGAAAGCTGGTTACTGTAGGTGAAGCAGCTTGTAAAATTTAAATTTGTTTCCAGCTTTAGTATTTGTAGTAATTGTTATGACATCAGTAAGTAAAAGCCTCGGTATAGTTACCTTGTCTTCCACTGGGTTCTGTATATTACCAGTAACACTGACAAGATATTGTATCCCTTGGGAATCCTTGATTTCCGAAGCAGATTTCAGAAGCAGTAGAAGGGACGCTGACTGGTAATCTACGTTTCCAGTCCAGGAGAACACAGAACATTTATGTTGTCTTAAAGGACAGCTGTACCTTTCAGAGGGCAGGAAACGGGAGTTCTAATGAGAAGCTAGCAAAAGTTTTTGGAAACTTGCGGAGATACATACTAATGTCCCTATTCCTACATTCAAGACTGCTGATATAGCCAGGTTATGTAAATAGAATTAGAGCCTTGAATGTTTTGTACTCCTATAAATATGCTAATGAGCAACACAGTTGCCTTTTGTCAGCGTTTTCCACTGGTGTTTCTGGTTGAATAGCAGTGAAGCTCAGTTGCAAGTAACCAAGCTCCATGTACTCAATCAGGGACAGGGAAAGACTGATCTGTGTTTATGCCCTGATCCCCCTTAAATTTTACTTTTCTGGCACAGACAGGCTGAGTCTTTGTACTGAGTATCATGGCAGCATCATTACCCAACCTTCTGTAGCATATTAATAAGAATTATTATTATTTAGCATATTAATAACAAAATCTTTCTTCATGAGAAATATGAAGAAAACAATGAAAAAATTCCCACTGCTCTGAAAAATGCTGATATCATAAAAGTCTACTGTCACGTGAATTTAATAATATAACAGTATTGTTTAAGTTCACCTTCAGCCCTTACATTCAGTGAAAGAGAATGGTATATGGATCTAGGTTAGGAATAAGTATTTTCCTGGCTGTTCAAGATCAGTCTTTTTATGCATATTTTACAGCAGTTACAAGAACTGAAAGTGTATTTTATAAACAAACATTAATTCACAAGAATTTATTTATCCGCACTCTCTCATTTTCTGTATAGAGGTATTTACTTGATACTCAGTTCAGAAGGACACGTTTCCTTGTTTAATCTGTCTGTCTGTACCAAAACAAATGTGCATATACAGAGAAAATAAATTTATCATGGATTTAATGAAGTGGACAGCTAAGATAAATATATACACATATTTCTATAAATTATTACTAAATCTGAAGGAGTGGCTTTTTGCCAAGTATCTGTATATGCATATAGCCTATAGGGGTAATTTTGCACGGGTGACTGATTTCTTTCTTTCCATAATGTGCCCAGTTTCTACAGGCTTTGCTTTCTGCACACTGCTATATTTCACTGGTTTGTCTCTAAACCAGCTATGTTTAGAGTATATTTGATTTGCATTCTGTTTTTTCTTTCATTTTCTTTAATAATTTGAGCTTTAAATTTTTTTGAGAGGGGAGGGAGGTATTATGAGCAACATATTTAATTGTAATAACAGAAAAGTCAACAAATATGTCTGTGCAGATGTTATTCTATGTGGATCCAAGTAAAGAATTGCCATTCCAGTAATGTGGCAGAATTCAAGTTAACACAGGAGAATTTTTTTACTTAAAAACTACAACTGTTGTTCAAAATTGTGCAAAGTTTCTGTATAAAATATTTATAAGGTGTCAAAAGTATCACCATGAAGGTGTTTTATGAGATTGAAGTTTTATGGCTTCAAATCCTGATGCAGTAATGAAACTTGCCTTAATTTATGTAAAGATTATCAAAATGGCAATGAGAAAATTGAAAACATGTTAGTGGTTTGTGACATCTTCCTAGTGTTGCTGTTAGAGCACTAATTGGAGATTATATTTGCTGCTGTTATTTATCCATGTGTACAGGGTCCGAGGTCTGATCTAAAGTACACAAATAGATAAAAATTTCCCTTGTCCTGAGTGGGCTCTGGAATAGGTCCATGTTTGGTTTCCTTCAGTCCAGGACCACAAACACTCTTACAGACTGCATAAATATAGGTCCTACAAAAGAGAAAACTGAGGCAACACTCTGTGACTTGCCAAATATATAGCAAGTGTGTGAGCACAGATGGAGGACTGAGTTTTAACGTTAGAATGGAGAAGTCCTCTCCAAGTAGAGACCATATTATGAGGCAAGAAATCCGCTATAATTTTTACACAGAACTTAAGACAAAAGATTCTAGTGCTGCTATTGTTTTGGCATGTTCTTGCTGTGCTGCTTCTAATTCCTCTCACATTCTTGTGACCATTCACCTGTTCTGCCTCATTCTCCTGTCTGTTACATGACTCTGCCTCCTCACCTAACTACT